GAGGGTGGAATCCCCATCCGTCAGTTAAAAAGTTCTCGAATGTTGAACCTATATATAGAAGAAAAGCTGAGATAAGAATTAATTATTATCAGACCACCGCGTTTGTGCATGAATTTGGGTATACATTATCTGTGGAGGTCTGTTCAGCACTGAAAAAGGAATAGTTTCAAAATGAATTAAACATAGTTAGACTTAGGCTCCTCCGCAGCCGTTTTTTTGGGATGTAACGCAACCCTTGGGGGGAACGTTGCGTGACATCCCAAAAAACGGCTGCGGAGGAGACTAAGTTAGACTGGGATGAGGGATTTTTTATCTAGTCAATGGCCAATTCCTTTTACATTAACAAATTAAGGTATCTTTATTATATCTCTCAGTTTCTACGCGCGCTGCGATTGGCCAATTTGTATTAAAGCTGTTCGGCTGTGTTTCAAGTGTTTCTAATTTTCGGGGCAAATAATTATAAGTTTAAAACTTTCGTTTTCTTTAAATTGTGTCTTAAAAAAAAAAAATCGGTTTCCTTTTGACGACAGTCCGTTCTGAAAGTTACGGAAATAGGATTTTTTTTCCTTCGATTCATGGCGGAACCAAACGCGAAGCTTGGCCCGAAGGCGAACCTTGGTCAGTAATTTACAGTACAAACACACCTCACCTCAAACGCGGTTAGTAAAGAGTATGTATAGCATAGAAAAAAAATCCATAGCAACGTTTGATGGAAAATCCTGGCAAGCCTGAATAGTGATTCCCAAAACAAAGTTTGCTAAAAGAAAAAAAATATGTCATGTCGCTGCTGTTAACAATATGTTAATTCAGTACGTCGAGTTTTGTTTGCAGAACACAATAGGGCTATCGTATTTACTGTTCTCTGAGGAACATTGTTTGGTTTAATTTGTTTCGATACTGTGGAATGTGAAAGTCGAGAACACTGCAAAGTAAAAGACAAATAGTATAATCAGCGGAAAAGGTTTGAAACCAACACTGAGCAAGATCGAAAATGGGTCGGTGGCGTACTCCTCGAGGTACAACTTCTACTGAGATTTTTAATCAAGCCTTCAAAATTAAGCTGATGATATTTTGACTGCAGAATTCGTCGCTGAAACTTTTTTGTTTGTCTGTTATAGCTGGGCTGAGTGACGCATTTTACGTCGACTTCTGGCTCGCTGTCCTGGCGGAGTATTTGGCGACGTTCTTTTTCGTGTTCGCGGTATCCGGTTCTGCACTAAGATGGGAAGGCGCGCCAACGATTTTCCAACAAGCCCTTGCCGCCGGGCTGTCAACTGCGTCCATGATTCAGGCCTTCAGATCAGTGAGCCTGCCTCTTGTACACGCTAATCCTGCCGTTTCTCTGGCTACATTTATCACCGGGGATGCTGGCTTGATTCGAATGGTTTGCTCTGTTCTGGCCCAGATGTTTGGAGGTAGGAGTACATGACGGTATATGTGCTGGGGCTTATCTTGTGCCAATATGGGTCTGAGACTCGTGTTTAATTAAAAACCTTAACTGCCTCAGTTCAGAAAAAACGTCGTCAAATTTTGCTATATATGACATTTCAGGGAACGTAGGTTTGCTAAATAGCTGTGTGCATAAAATTTCCTTTCATATAGTTTTATTCAGTTCAGGACTGCAAACTCAATTATACTGAAATCCCTAAACTGCTGAACTACTTTTTGTGCCATCGTAAGAAGGTTTATCATTTCAGTAACAAGAAGCCGTAATTAAAATATGGCGGTGACAAGAACTGGTGAGAGAGTTACTTTCCATGTTACTGCTAATCAACTCTGGCATGCAGGATAAGTACAAGAACAATACAATGCCGATTATGCCCCCTCCCCCTCACCCTGCATTCCCTCCGCTTTTTAAAAACGTCTACCCGGTTATAGGTCAAACTTCCTCCCCCGGATATAAGTCCTTGTTGATCTTATTTTCGTTCTTCAAATGTAGTAAGCAATAAGTTGTAAGAATAGAGCAGATCAAAACGTGCGTTGGATCAAGGTAATAATAAGCAATTATCTTCTACATGTAAATCTCTCTTCAGCTCATTTCCAAACGGGTTTTTCTTTATATCGCTCACTAGATTCCCCCATGCCAGCCCCTAAGGTATAAGTCCTGGGCCCAGTTATTTAAAGGCTGGATAACGCTATCCACCGGATAAATCGCTATCCAGTGGCCGGATAAGTGTTGACAGAACAAACTACGTTATTCACTGAAGAGTGATTTATCCAATCGATAGCGTTAGCTCAGCTGAATCCTGCTCGTTAAGTATAATATAGAAAAAATATAAATTATTTAGCTTTCAATCGAAAAGGTGTCTCTTTTTTACCCTGCGTGACGAAGTTTTACACATATAAATTCAGATCCTTAAGTTTGAATCTTTCCCAGGTGCCATGTATTACCTTGTATTAACTGGAGCTCAAACTCGAAATTTCAGAAACTGATGATAATTCATAAGTTATGTCCTCTCGGATTCAATTTATATTATTTGAAACCGTTTATGAAATAAACTAAAAATCCACATTCCCTCGCGTTATTCTTACACCTTCTACAGCTATAACTGGTTCAGGAATAGTGATGGCGATAAGCCCTCAACACGCCCGAGGGAAGCTAGGGGCGACTATACCAGCAAAGGACGTGAGTAGTTTCCAGGCCTTTGGCGTGGAGCTGATTCTGACGTCATTCCTGGTGCTAACCATGTTGGCTTCCATTGACGCTAATAAACACGCGGCTCGCAGGGATTATGGGACAGCGGCAGCACTGGGTGTGGTCGTTACATGCTGTTATCTTATTGCGGTAGGTACCCAAAGCAGGTGGTCGTGAGTGGTAGGCAGAGGAAAGAAGTAAACATTTTCTCCCTTCTCCCTCCTCAGGTTTGACCTTTCTCAAGGGCGCAACTTGCTCCGCCCCAATACTTTGCGAACAGTTGTTAATTAACTATTATTGATTATTCATTAAGTGATACATATCATCACGTGAATAGTATTTATCCAACATAGTTACTAGTCATGGCAAATGGTTATTTCCCTCTATTATCTTTGCATGGACGGTCAGCCTGACAACGTTTCGGATAAACGCTCATATATATGTACCCCGAAAGTGTCCACCGCCTATTGGAATGCACTTGGTAAGTAGCTTTAGTAAACTGGTCTCCGATACTCATGTGATCTATGTCCTTGTCTTTTGAAGTTACCGATCACCGGCTGTGGTGTAAACCCAGCAAGGTCACTCGCCCCGGCTGTCCTCAGCGGCACTTGGGATGATCACTGGGTAAGAATTAGTGACGTCATTTTGCGCGTTGTTAGACAACTAGGGTCCTCTGTAACCTCGTTCCCAATACCTACTCGTCGCTCCCCCACTCCACCCTCCCAAGAACAAGGGAAACCAAGGGAAGAGTGACGAAATACCCGGGGAGCGAGTTTAAACGGATAAGGTGTGGCTTTCAGGTTGGCAGTTTTGGGACAGGGCCGTTTGACTTTCTGAAACGAAAGCCGTTTTTTTATAGCAAAGATTATTAAATAGATGTCTTAATTCCAAACACCCAGAAAAGAGATGAGAAAATACGAACGCGCAGCAAAGAAGCAACTTAAGGGACTTTAAGGTGGTTGGAAATGTGCCTGTTATTCATGGAAAAAACTGAGAAATAAAATGGTATACTGACTGAGGTCGATTTTCATTTTTCTTGAATAAACGGTAAAGAAACTATACAAGGTCATGTCACTTCTAAGTCGAAGAGAGAGAGAGAGTTACGCGGTCTGTTTTATTAACACGAGGCGAGAAATTTGCCACAGGGTGAAATTACATCCTCCAAACTGGAAATCGCACATTTAAATTTGACAATGTAAGCACATCAATGTGCAGAGCAATTTGAATTTTAAAAGAACATTAGCAGTGAACTAAGATCTACCGATTGCTTCTAATTTGTCTGATTTATTATCAGGTTTATTGGGCGGGACCAATCTTAGCATCTTTGCTGGCAGCATTTCTTCACCTTTTTCTGTTCAAGGACCGTGAATATCGACACCACTCTGCCCCTGAGGATGACGATCATGATGAAGAACCCATCATACAGTAGTTGATCTGTGACGCTATTGGCTACTTCATATGACGATCGTGTACATATTTGGTTATTTCAGGAGCCCATGTTATAAACATGTAGTTAACTTGGATTAGAAGCGTAGTGTATATGTTGTGACGCACTCACAAGATACAAATTGTTAAAGTGTTTTTGTGTATATACATCAAACTTCATAAATAAACTAAATAACGTGGGCCTTTTGATTAACTAAAATAACTAGAGTCGCGTTTCATCAGATTATCAAGAACAGGAATTGAATCTTTTTCTAGCACACCTAAATATGACTTAACGCACACAACGACCAAGCACAGTAGCCAGACTATCACAATTTTACAAAACACTCCAGTCGTCTTTTGTAAGAGCAAGGGCGTGCACCCAGAAAATTAATAAAGTGATTCTATAACTGAATTGTCAAAAGTATGGTGTTTGTTTGAATATATAATATACTCCGTTTGCACTCACGTGGCAGGCAACCACGTATTTATTAGCACGAAAGAAAGTACTTGCAAAAGAAAATAATTCAACCACCACAGGATTGGTTTATAGGACACCAACATCATAATCATGAGCATGGCCGCCGCTTCATGGCTGCCGTGACGTCGGGTAAATTTATTTTATAAATTCAAAGCGCTGCAGGTCTAGATCATGCATTTGCTTTTCCGAGAGGAAAATGGATTGGGAAACTTCTCATTCTTGATCTCGGAGGCCAAGATTTAATAGGCCCTTTGCATAGATGGCGCGATATTTGAATAACAATAAATGTACATTCACGTGAAAAATCCCTTCCCTGGAAACATCAGTACGAGGCTTAGGATGTACAAAGTATTGTTATTCAAATTCAGGCGCCCTGGGTCAATAGTCTTGCATGACAAAGGCAATTTTATTTCAATTTGCCTCTTAAAACGTAAAAAGAACACCAAAAAGCTAAAAAAAAATGCTTACCCTTGCAATTCTAATCCTAACAAGCATCACACTTATTTCTTAGAAAATTTTAAAAGAGGCCTGAAGAGACTCAATAAAATGACCTTGTCAGCCACAATATGTATTTCATAGGTCAGCGGTGATCTCGTCCCCAAGGCCCTCGCTCCTTTTCTTTTCGCGAGCACCTCGTTCACGTCCCTGTTACGAGCTGAACCATTGCATGTCTTCTTGGCAACGCACTGTTATGCTTGAATAAACTCTGAGTAGTTTTAATTTATCGAGAACAAAAGGCCAATTATGTCTTTTTAAGCTTGATTGATCGGAAAACCTTAATCTTGAATGAATTCCATTCGAAGTCGTTGCCAGATTTTTTTGGTTTTGCGGTTAGAATTGATTAAGAAACGGTTTAAATTTTTTGGCAATCCGACCAAAGCCTTCTCCAGAGTGACTGATGGTCTTTTCACGCTACTACACCACTTGCTTTTGACTGTTTGGCGTAATTTGAAGGTTATAGTCTGTTAGATGTTACATTGAGTTTACATAAACCAGAAAAAAAGTTATGATTTATGGTGGAAATTCACGCACCAAAATTTGGCTGTAGTTCTTAACTCCAGTTGGTAGTTTTTCGAATGAGACAATTTAAGTGTCATATTCTTATGGTCCGACATACGTTCCAGCTCCCATCGCATACCTTTAACGTTCAAAAACTTACGGCGTCCAAAAAAGTCATATTGAATTTGGTCGCCATGACAATACATGTAATTCATGTAATACAATTTACAGTGGTGAACACTAAGAGATCGATCGATTCAGATCGAAGTTTGCTAAGCTACCCACAGTTTACCAATAAAGTAAGCTTGCCTAGTTTTCTGAGGCAAATTTGAATCAACTAGATCACTAAGATATTTTCTGGTTCCTGTTTTGTTGCTATAAAGATTTGCCAATTCACATGGATCGCCTTCAATCTAGACCACTTCGTTTGTTTATGATTACAGAGGTACATTACAGGTACCAGTTCAGCCGCGTCACTTCAACAAGTGTCATTTTTGTCTTATACCTTAGGAGGCGATCAAAAATGAAGAAAGCTAAAGACGGGGCTACAAAAAGACTTCGGATCGCTAGCTGCATGTGTCTGTTATTTATGATTGTGGAATTTGTAGGTAAGAATCCTGTTCTATTTTCTCTGTTATACATAGAAAACTGAGCCTGCCATAAAACTATCCTTGAGTTATTGGTCATATTTACAAATGGTCGCTGGTTAAAATATCATAAAATATCACAATATTAATAGCTTTCACTAAAAGTATCTTAACGCTCTCATAACTCGATTTAACATGATAAGTTTTTCAAATCATAGTTAAACCGACACATCAAAGTAATACGTATAACCAGGAGAGACGCGTTGAAATTGCCTTTCTGTGGGCGGTGTTAGCTATGATTGACACGGTAAATATACCACCATGAGCTTAGTAATTAATGGTAACAAATAGGAGAATAAACATTGGCAAACCATTTTGCAATTGAATAGCGAATGGACCCAATCTGCCAATAAATATTTCTCCACGAAGCCAGAATTTCAGCTGGTAAAATACATAACTTAACATATACCATGAATGAAGTTCAGTTTTGCTCTTTAATTTTTTGCCTGTTTAGTTTAAGTGCTTCTATCTCTTGGATAGCTGGTTTAATTGTGTGAAGTATTGTGCGGTACACTGCATGGATGAGAAAACAGCGAAAACAAATAAAAGAAAGGAGGGTAGAGAACAAACTGAATGCAGAAATATGAAACATGATTTTACGAAGGTGCTGTACTTTCTTCTCGATTCATAGGACATAAGGACAAGACAATTAACTCTGCAGACAGTTTAATAAAGTATTAATCAAAGCTAAAAACGCGAATAGTACTAATTATTTTATTTGATACCGAACTATAAATCGTTCAGCGCTAAATACAATTAAATTTCACGATGATCGCCACTGGCACTTCGTCACTTCAGCTCTTTTCATTAGCGTTTGCATGCTGAAAAACGAAAATAAATCGTTTTTGCTAACGTCTCTCTTTTGTACATTTCAGGTGGATACTTTGCCAATAGCCTCGCTATCATGACGGACGCCGCGCATTTACTGTCGGATTTCGCAGGCTTTATGATCTCGTTGCTGGCTCTTTGGGTGGCTACCAAGCCCGCCACTACGACTCTGTCTTTTGGCTGGCATCGCGCAGGTAACGAAACGACGATACAAGAGTCAGTCTCGTTCCCAGACCTTTGGCCGGGAGTCTACTGGTCGGCTACAGGGCTGGGTTGTTCAAAGCCCGGTTAAGCTAACCCAGGATTAGCGAGAATTTTGATTTCAGGTTTGCAACTTTTGTGTGCAGTTTCCTGTTTACGTTGTTTTTCCTTCAGGTTTGAGTTTGAAAAACCTCAAACTACGCAAAACATAATCAATGGTAAACATTTTTATATAAAGAAAATGGATACTTCGGTTAACGTTTAATCCTGGGTTAGTGCTAACCGGCTTTCGAACAACTCGGCCCAGGTCCTTATGCCGCCGATCATATGAAACGAAGACTCTGGGAATAGCTCATGTAGAGAATTAGTTAAAATATGTACAGGCAGGAGCTGGTACAGGCCCATGCTTTTTACAGACAGTATCGTTCTCAAATGGTTTAGCTTCAGGACCAACTGAAATCTCAGTATGATCAAATAGCTTAAGAAAACATGGCTGCAAAAGAAACCTTCATTTTCGTTATACATTTACCCCCGGAATAACGACCCCTCGGAATTCCTGATGAGATATCTGTCTAAGGGACCACTTTAAATGACGTAATGTGTCGATCTATTCGAAACTTTAACATCTCCTCCCGCCCCCTCCCTCGGCAAACCCCCAGACATTGGGCATTTTGCATTTTCAGTTCCCCTGGGGAGAAAGTAGTGTTCAATTGCCCAACCTTAGGGTCCTACTACGCGATAAAAAGTCCCAACCACAGGGACACAAACCGGAGAAATAAGTAGTGGAAAAATATTCACCGGGAACGACCGCTTTCAACTTCTACCATGCTAAGAACAAGAATGATTCTTTTATATATAACTAAGCAGTTTCACAGTTAAGAATTTGGATTTATCATCAATCATATCATTCCACAATCCTATTTTAAAGGTATTAATTATGTTTGATCCACAACTTATACAAAGAATGGTGTTGTCTCTTGATAAGAACAACAACAACAATCCTTTATTTAAACACGATTTGGTTCAAAGCAACAGGTTTGCTTGTGGGGTCGTGTATCTAGCTAAAAATTTAAGAAAAACAGAAATATGTCTTCGATGCCTTCTGCAACACTTCACCGTGATCTCGAGGGAACTTGTTCAAAGCCCAACACAGCCCTCCTCCCATACAGCGTCAAATTCCCGACCCCAATATATCAACCAGCGATGTCAAATTCCCGTTCCCCAGGGCGCATCAGCTAGTCTGGTAAATACCCGGGTATACCCCGCGGGGATGTTGATGTCTCTATTTGATCGATAAATGACGTTGACCACGTTAACAGGCTTCCATTGTATGTCTGTTTACAGAGGTGATGGGCGCTCTAATGTCAGTGCTGTTTATCTGGGTGCTCACAGGAGTGTTAGTCTATCTAGCAATTCAAAGAATCATCACCAAACAATACGAGATAGACGC